AGTCTGTGGACACGCCATGATGAATAATAAATTTGTCACGTACCTCAAGACTTTATTTGAAACACCTTAAGAAGTTTAATAAATCCAATAAAACTCTATCAGAGACTTTAACTTTTACCAAAGTATTTTTATGATAAGATACTTGTACTTTTACTCATGTATCACTTTGAGGTACTTTACACAACCCTTCATTGTGTTTTGTTGGATTTGTGATGCTCTGATGAGTGTATTGCTTGTTTCAGGTGGCCATGATCAACTCCACCAACCTGACCTTCATCCAGAACTTCACAGGAGAACAGGCAAGGAGCTTCTGAAAATGAAAGTAGCAGAAAACAGTTTCACTCTGACGGTTTTTGTTTTGAATCTAAATTATTTTCCTTCAGATGGCCTCCTACTTTGGTTACTCAGTGGCTGTCACTGACTTGGATGGAGATGGGTACGTAGATAATATCGCTCCAAACACTCGCTGCTGCTCTTTCTGTCTCTGCTCTTTAAAAACAAATCCTCTGTGAACCCACCCAGGACTGATGACATCCTGGTGGGAGCTCCTCTCTACATGGAGAGGGAGATGGAGAGCAAACCCAGGGAGGTGGGGCGAGTGTACCTGTACCTGCAGCTGGCTCCGCTCACGTTCTCCAAACGGGTCRTTCTCACCGGCACCTACACTTTTGGGCGCTTCGGGACGGCCATAGCACCGCTGGGAGACGTCAACCAGGATGGATATAATGGTATGATGGAACTGGCACACGCTAAATTAAAAAAAAACAACTTTTGTTGCCCGTATGAGGTTTGGGTTTAGTGGTTGACCTGACAACAAGTAGCAGGTTTTTTCTCTGATTCTGTGGCCGTTGAAGTGTTTTTTTTTTCACCGAGCGAGGAAATCCCATCAAAGCTCCTCAGCCGATCAGGAAGGGTGGTGATGAAAGGTTGTGTGTGTGAACTTTTTTTTTTTTCATGGTGTGACTGTCGAGTTGAGGCCACATGCGTGTTCGGGGCTATTTTTACCTCCCCAGATGTGCCCCGAGATAAAAACATCTGGGAGGTTTTTTTTTTCCACAGCCCAGAGTTCATTTCTCTTGGACATGTTTGTTTTATTCTCACATTAATTAGACAGAGATACACGCACACACACACACACACACACACACACACACACACNAGCTTTATAAATTAAAAATATCTGACTGTTTTTCAGTGGAACCATTATATTTCATCATTTCTCCCCTCTCTGTTTGATAAGAGATACACGCACACACACACACACACACACACACACACACACACACGCACACACAAAGCCTGGAGCCAAACTGCCTCGTTAAAGATGAGTGAATTAATGCACATCTGGGCCTTGTATGACATCAATCCCACTGATTTATTTTTAATTATCTTCTCGGGCGGCATGTGTTAATGCTCTTACCATGTCCTTAAACCCCATCAGCCAGTAGATCAATAACCAGAGGATCAATACTGAAGCTTTCTGTGACTTGAAACATAAATCACATCTGTTGTCTGTCAGGCTGTGACACTCTGAGGACAGCTGAGGGACCGCTTGAACAACACAAACACTTGTTATCAATTGYTTTAACAAGTCTTTGCTCGTGTTCATAATTTTGGGGGGAATATGGAACAGAATCAGCACGGCAGCTTTATGATCAGGGGTTTCAGCTGTTTCTTTTTGCTCATTTCAAAATAAGAGTTGGATTGTTTGAGCAGTACCAATTACTTTTTTATATTTTTTTTAATTCTGGGTATCAGTCAAACCTGAGCCRATTAAATAACAGAAGCGTCTCTGGGCATCCATGTTGTTACATATAACCATATAACACCTTTGTGTTAATCAAACAGTGGTTCCTTTGATAATGGAGGTTCACCAGAATATTCACTCACAAAAAACACAGAAAAAAAACGTTTATTAAGAAGTTTTATTATGCTAACTTTGGGATGATTTATGTCATATCTGTTTAAAGTGCCTGTGACATCAAATTTTAGTAATAAATGCAAAGGCATTTTTGGAAAGACAACCTTTAGAACATCTTACAAAACAAATTTCACGCTGCTAAGATGAACAGTTGTTGAGATATTTGCATTTCAAGCAACAGGAAGTGATGTCAAAGGGAAATGTCTGCATGGAAACAGAGTGTTACTTAACTAGCTAAAACCACAGACTGTAGAGAAGAATCTGATGTTACTTTAGATTATTTTGAGTCTCTATCAGTAGCTGTGTTTCCATTATAAATGTGCACAAAACTTTGTCGATATTCTGTTAATGTCGAAAAACACAGTTTCGCAACTGTGGTGTTTCCGTTAAGTAAGAAATGCTATTAAAGTCTTACGTGAATACGTTTGTTCTCACGATAAATCATTACAAACATGGTGGCGATGGATGTAAACACATAGCATGTTGCTACCACGACACTAGCGCTCATCATCAGAGGAGACGTCGGCGTCTTTTATCGAGGCTTTCCAGAGACAAGTCCCTACTTGGGAGCGGCTACGTATGCTGTGTTTTTGGGAAATTGTAGTCGGTGAGTTTACTATTTTATACTACTTCTGTGATATTACTACTACTTCTACTTCCTGTTATCTTCTTCGTCGTCGTCTTTTTCACCAGTAGAAACAGCCTGTTGTGATCATGTGACTCCCGTGATGCGAAAAAAGTGTTTCCATTGCAGTTTTGTGAGAAACACCAATTTCGATACGGCCGAAAAACCACCTCATCCTAGTGCAAAAACAATTTGTCGAAAAACGTAATTTTTTTTAAATTGACATGTTTTCGTTGAGTAAATTTATTTTCGAAATTCTAATTTGCACATTTTCATGGTCAATAGAAACGCAGCTAAAGAGAGATGAAGTAGAGTCAGAGTTCAAATAATATTGTTTTAATAAACAAAGAACAGAGAGTTCCTTTTCTTAAAGACTTCCCCTTTGATGTCACTTCCTTTTTCACTTTTGCTGAGACAAAATCAAAAGAAAACATGACAGTTATGTGACAAAATAGGTAAAGTTGTGTGTATTATGYCTTTCTTTCTTTCACTTTTTGCATTTGAAGAGTATGCGTCATTTGAAAAAAATATTAAGACTTTGATTTCTTGAAAATTTGGGAGGGTTTTTAAAGGTTTTGAGCCTTCACGTGTTAACTGTAAAGCTTTTAGCCTTCAGCTATTTCCCCCTCATACTTTATTTAGTGGATAATGTGTTTAAACAGTAAACTTTTACTATTATCAGTCAAAGACAGAGATATAAAACCTAATGTTTTCAATATTAGCCATCGGCTGTCCTGATTTCTAAAAATCTTTATGTGGAAAACCTCTAATCAGTTCATGTCTGGTCAGAAATCTGTATTCAAGTATGAAATCTTACAATCTGTGTTTCTGTCCATAATCACTGACAGATCTCTTTTCTTTGCGTCTTTGTGAGATGACACATCTTCTTTCTCCCACAGCTCCGTGATCCGTCCCCCTCAAATTCTTCTCAAAAACAGAACCATACCCGTTTTCTGTCATCTTGGTGATTTTTTGCTTTGTGACAGCTGTTGAAGCCTTACAATTTGGCTAATTCGATTTTCCACGAGGCTCTCCTCGTTTCTAATTTTCCTCYACCAGCGCTGGCTCTTCTGTCACCGATGGTTGCTGAGTGTCAGCTGCTTTCAGTCTGCGAGTAAGAACCTCCTATAGTTTGAGCTTCAGTGATCACAGTGGGGGTTCTGCTAAATGTCTGCATTGTGTGGGACRTTGTTGAGCAATACCAATGAGTGACTTTCACATTATTTGAAGAATTCTTCTTTTTTTTAAGTGAGCTTTTTTTATACACAGCTATTCAGTTATGTACATATACCCACACAGACACATAGTCACTCGTGCACACGGACACACACAAGTTCATTTATACACTTGCACGCACACATGGTTGCATTTATTTTCTCTACCCCACAATCTGCTTCATGTGGAACCAGTTGTTTAGGCTGGGAGAGAGGGGGTCTGGAGACAAACAGGATGTCCTGAGGTATTTTGGACAGTTACAGTACTGATGGGTATTTAGATGCTGGACAGGGCAATCCGTGGACACTTGGAGCTTTAAGAGGATGAAAGGAGATCTATTTGTAAAGTCTAAAAATAGGTATTTCATATTTAAACAGGTGTCTAGTACTGAGTCTGCTTGTATATTTCTGGCTTCCTGTAGTTGCTCTTTTTGTTCCACTTACAGAATTAGTCAAAACCAGTGGTGGGCACCAGTCCGCTAAAGCGCAAATCCGCTAATTGCGGACTTAAATATTTAGTTTGCGCTTTAGCGGTCTTACTAATTTTTATAATTCATAAGCGGATTTGCGCTTTCTAAAATTAAAACGCAGTACCACTAATAACTAATTATCTACCAGTCATCATTATCTTGAACAGCAGAAGGTATGACTGTCAATGAATCACAACAGGTGATCTATCCAACAGCACCCCTCCCAGATAAACACACTTATTGTGAACGTATACATCCTTGCTGACTGTTGCTTTCGGTCACGTTTCTGATTTCCCACAATGCTTTGTGTCTGCTAACTTAGCAGGAAGCCAATGTTTAGAACTCCCTTTTCCAGCAAAAACAGTAAACGTTTGTAGTCCATAAAAAATTTTTTGCATGTATTTCCACAACATAATGATTTATTTTACTTTACAATCGGAGCTCCTTTTTTTAAAAATAAAGTTTAAACGCTGGAACTCAATACTTGACGTAATTGTTCGAAGCATCGGCCAACGTGGTTAGACAGACATCTAGTGGTCAACTGGAGCAACTACATGRAAAAYTTTWAAATCCAAGCTCTTGTTTTGAAGTTCRCAGATAGTTTCCTGTACTCCGTGCWTTCGTTTCCYGTCACAAATCAACTCCGTCATGTACCCAGAAATCATCGCTTCAGTTTTCCAATAAACAGYTTTAAAATTACTTTATTGATGCTTTTTTAATGAAAAATCTACAACAAACAAAAGAAAAAGACAAAGAAGCAGCTGAACTAGCAATCCTCAACAACTTTTTTAATTTTTACACCAGGAGCCAACGTTCTGTTTCAGGAAACCCCAGCAATCGGCGGTTGTAGGATTAAGCTGTACAAAGGTTCATACACCGCTAGTTGGCATTGTTGTGCATATA